TTTTGAAACATCTTGTTATATGTCTGCCATAGTAGCCATGGATCAAAATATTTCATGCTTCCTAATTCCATTTTTGGCGTCAACTGATGAGGGCTTCTGCCGTAAGATGTCTCCCTATTTATGGTTATATTTGTTGGATTTAATTTTCTATTGTGGGCTTAATATGTAAAATTAAATATGTACAGCAGTCCAATTGTAAAGTCAATTTTAAATGTGGTCTTGATTGTTGAAATAATTTGACTATCTGAGGTTCACTTATTATAGATATTAAGTGTAGAGACCATTATGATAATTCCTTATTCGTTAAAGGACCGAATAGGAAATTGTACTAAAACCTCCAGGTATTAAAGGTCGTGGTTCCGCAGAAGGAGTTTGAAATACGATTCAGTTTTACGTTCTTTCGTATTGCTTCCGGCTAAATTCGATTCCTTCAATTCTCTTGGAAGGCTGCAAACCCTATTCTACACCTCAAGATCGACAAAACAACGAATGTAGGTACGCAACCCTTTTTTTATTCAATCTATTTTGTTGAATCTAGTGATTTGCACGGTCTAGGTTATTGTGGAATTATTTGAGATTATTATTTACACTATTATCAATTGGCATGGGCCTAGGAAACCTTTGCTGTGAGTACAATTAATTTTAAGATGAACTTTAATCAACTTTTTTTATAAGCCGCATTGAACAGGGAATCCAATTAATAATTCTAACTTTTTTTTTCATTTCAACAATAATCATGTTTTGTTGAAATGAAATAATTTTTACAAGAATTATAGTTATTATTGAAATGAAAAATGTAAAATTATTAATAGATTCTTGCAAAATTTAGGAGACCATAAAAATAATCGCGAATTATTATAAGGTAAATCACGTGTTAAGTTGGGTGTGAGAGTAATACATGTTATGGTGCTTACTTGCATGCAAGGTAAGTCAAGGATCTTTTTAAAAATTGATTGAATGATAAAACTAAGCTTTATTTTCACTGTGAAATTTCCATTTACCTTATAAACCTTACCTGAAATTAACAACTTTTGTCAATAAATAATGGAAAAAAGGAAGAGAGATGGATGATGTGGATGTGATTAGGAAAGTTAATTCATGGATGGTCGATAATGGGAGCAAGTGTCATGTGAGTCTCATCCGTGAAAAGGTAGAGTTTGGTGATTAAAATGATTAGGCCATATTTACCAACTGACTGAATGCTTAAATCTCAAACCCACATTTCCAAAAAAAAGAAGCATTTTACAATTGAAATCTCCCTGTGGGCCTGACCGTTGTTCCCTTGCTTTTGAAAAGGGGCAAAATTAGAGGTTTGAAAAGTTGGTGGCTTAGAGTATTGGAATTGGAAATTGGTGCATTAAAGGTGCGTTTCTCTCAATGATTCCTTTCTCACCATTAGTTTGGTCGCACCGATTCTTTCTTGGTGGAGAGTTTTTTGTTATTACCTGGGAATCCTGCACTAAATGTGGAGCTTAAGCTTACTTTTATCTTTCTTTCCTTTTGTTTTTTTTTTTTTTTTATTAAAAGAATGATTTGATATGAAAGAGAAGAGGAATTATTAGCACCAATGCTACTTTAACATCGAAGCATATTTGCAGTGTTGAGCCATCAAAAATTTGGTTCTAGTATTTGGATTCCTAACTACCATGAATTGGGATTTGATTTTTCGAATTAACGATTATTTTTTCTTTTTTTTAGAAAAAAAAAGTTATTAATTCCTTTAAAAAAAAAAAAAAAAAAAAATGTACTCTATTTTGTCTTCATTGCATCAAAATAATTTAATATGTTTTACATAATTCAATATACTAACTAAATTACTTATAATTCGTAATTTTATTGAAAACTAATAAAACTGACTAGTAAACATTTTTAATTAAAGTGTGTGGTTTGGTTGGTCTTTCTACGGTCTCGAGTTTTAATCCTTACGCTACAAAAGTTTCATCAATTTGATGGATGTTCATTCAAAAGAATAGTTTGCTCCCTATTATACAGGTCATACCTTTAATTTATTCGTTAAACTTATAAACTACTTTATTTGAATTTTAAGATAATTTTTTAACTTATTACAGTAAAAATTGCTTTAATATATTTTTAATTATTTAGTTCAATAACTGTTTTATAAAAATTAAATTTTTTAACACCCAGACCGACGTTCATGTGGGATCATCCTAATTCAAGTCCAAAATTGTTGGTTCGTTTTCACAAACAAGTCAAAGGAAAAAGCGCTTTTCCGAGTCGAAAAGGCAGTCTATGCTGTATATAATCACCACAAAACGTGAAAAATTAAAAGGTGACAATTTGATTTGGGCCTGAAAGTCTAGCAATTCCTAATTTAGAGACCATTATTTTGCAAGTTTATGTTTATGGGCCCGACTGTAGCAAAACAAAGAAGTAGGGCTTGTTAGGGATAGTGGGCCTTGATCTTATAGTGGGATCCACTTTCGATTGTCCCCCACTCTGATTATTATGCACATTAAATGAATGATTCAAGTTGTCCTGC